GTCAGAACGTGGAATAAGTATCGCCCATCGTAACATTAACACGAGGACCGCCCAGGTCAACCTACCTGGGTCAAATTCATGGTTCAGCCTGTAAAACACACAGACAACTTGGCAATCTGGGCATCAAGCTACGCTGACTACCAAGCTGTGGGGCTCCTGTTCTGGATAACCCAACTCCTAAGAAGCCCAATAATCCCTTCCCCCTAAAAGGGCCCAACCATGTGGGCAGCCCAATGACGGAGGTCCAGTAACCCCCCACTTGTACATGTCAGCCCTACCAGCATCGACCAAGCACTGGTCCCTAGGCGGCACGAGTTCCTAAGCGAGACACTAGAATGTCTCTCCTAGGAACCCCAACCCTTTGTAAGTCGCCCCAGATACCATTACAGGTAAACGCCCCTCTGTCCCATGCTGCCACCGCCAGAAGCAGGTACTGAATCACTGCCTACTCCTGCTATGGGAGCTAATCATAGCAGACCCGAAGGAGCGTTGACCTCCAGAAGAGGACCCCTCAACGGATCAGCACATAGGACCTCTATAAATACCACTCCTTCCACACATAGAAGGGTAGATTTTATGTAGTGTTGTTATGCCCATTTGTATTTAGTCTCATTACTGTTCATTACCTGCCATTGATATTAACTCACCAAACCCTTGGAACATTGCCTATTAGCCAGGTCTTTACCTTGACTGAAGGTATTATCCATATATTGATATTACCCTATCAGGGTACACAGTGGGCTTATTGATTCCATCAGTACACTACACATGGAAGTTCCATTTATATATTAAACCAAATGAGAAATACAAAGACATGTACATAATGTGGGACCTCTACTACAATATTTACAACAACAAAAATCAATCGAGGCAACTCTGACTTCAAGAAAAATGGAAAACATGAGTGTGACGAAAATGTAAGCCATCAAAGTTTCAATGATACGACAGGTTTTTAAGACATTGCTCTCAAGATGCCACCACAAGAAGCATTCATCCCCTGCTACACCACCGAGCCATCCATGTTGAAGTATCAACAGGGAAGAGGAGGTGCAACCCAACGAATAGCACTCACTCAGAATGACAGCTCCTAGATGGGTAGATGGTATTATTCAGCTAAAATGCTCCAGATTTGGCTCAGCGATTCAGAAACTGAGCAAACCTGACTTTCAAGCAACTTTTTGTTCCTACTCAGCCTTTGTCAGGGACAAGATCTTGAGTTGAGACAGATCATAATACTTGAAATATGATGATGGCCATAGGCTCCAAAGAATCCTCCGAAAAACAGAGACAAACCTTTCCTTGGAACTTTTAAAAGCGTCATACTACTTCCCTTAAGGCTCTACATTTGTTTCTGCTTAATTTTACAATGCACCTCATTCATCCTTTATTTTACAATGTCACGTCCGTCAGTTTTCGGCTTCCTTTGCTGTATGTCAATTTGATGTCAAGCTGAGATCTCCAAAAAGTCAAGATGGCAGCACAATATCAGCTAAAACTATGAATCTTCAAATGTATATATATGTAAAACGATAAACCTGGGGGAGATGGGCTTCTCCCCTCCCCTTCCCCTTCCCTTTCCCCAACCAATACTTGGTTTCTTACAAGTTGAGGTTAAAGAATTAAAAGGTAAATTAGATGCTATCAGTCCGAAGAACACAATAAAATGGTTATACAGGAGTAACTATAACAAATCATTCCAGTGCTTGCAAAAATAGTGCCTGACATGGAATCTGGTTTTAAGAATGCTACCGGGTAGCTAAACCAAATTTAGAATCACGCCAAAAACCATTATAAGCACACCCTAAGATTACTTTAAATGCCCATGTACTTTTTTTTATTGCTTCTTCTCACACTTGGACGTGGATAAAGATCTACATTCAAATTATTCCAAATATACCTAACTTCTTCTCACACTTGGACGTGGATAAAGATCTACATTCAAATTATTCCAAATATACCTAACTTTCCCTAGAGCTTGTTTTGTCTATTTTACTATTCGCGTTAAATTTTGAAGTACTAAGTTACTAGACAACATACCATACACACCATTTTACCCGAAATATAAACAACCCTAGTTTTACTTTTCTATATTTGGTACAAGACTTTCCATCAAGAAAAGAATCTTCCATAAGCATCTTATTGACTTCTCAGATCTGCTGCCATAAATGTTTTGATCACTTTTCTATACACTACTTGAAAATGTCTTATATGCACCTTAATAAATCAAAGCTACATGAATCCTTAATGCCATTCATCACTTCAGAAAAAACTCATCATTCATTTAATTAACTTCCCACGTTGATTTTCTAAATTAACATTTACGCATTCCACATTAATGTTTATACAATTAAAATAAACAAACATTCGACAAACAAGTACCTTAATTACCCAAGCAGAGATTTTCATTCAAACTTATACAATAGAGGAAAACTGAAAGAGGCAGCACCTGGTATAACAAGAGGGGGAGTGTGACCCCCCCTTAAAATTTTCAGAATCCACTACACTTCTTACAGCCTTTTCAATTAATTAAATATCTTTTCCATATGCATGCGCACCCCCTCCCCCTCCCCCCTCTCCCTACGTCAAACCCTAAACATTTTAATGGCTAGCCACTTATAGCAACAGCAATGCTATTCTTATAACAAGCATTTGACTTAAGCTGTATCACAGTCACACAACACATACAAATACATATTGCTACTGGAAGAGAGAAGGCAGGATCAAACAAACTAAACTGGGGAGCACCTGCTTGTAGGCTGCTAGCATGACCAACAGACCAGAGGCATATTTGCATAACACAAATATATTTTGTTTACAAGTAAACTAACAAGCTCCATTAACAAATATAATCAATCACCTACAAAAGCATGACCCTTAACCTCCCTATGCCAATAAGGAAGTTCTTTTTTCCTTTTATTTCCCTTTTAAGGAAATGCAAAGCAACAGTTTCGATACAGATAAGGTTAACATTCACAGTCAATTAGGAAATACCACAGCTTATAAACGATGAAAAGCAAGAGCTGAATATTGATGATTCAAGAAACTTCACAAAAGGAAAATTCTAATATAGTTGCTGCTTCAACATAAAGGATCACACAGTAGGAAGTTACTGACAGCCAGCAAAGTGAAAAGAAATCATGTCTAGGAAAGCAAATAGTAATAGATTAGGAAATTGAGAAACAAGCAAAGAACCTCATTTCAAAAGTAAAATGAGGACAATAAAATCACACTTTTCATACAGTGGGTTTCTAATCCATAATCCAATGTGAAGGTACACAAATTTGAACTCATTAAAACTAGGAGCACCATAATACAATGTTGCATGCCACACAAATGTAGATGAAAAATTTCAAAAGTGAAATCATTGTAAACGAATAATTACTGCAGGTATACATTGAAGTAATAGAAAACATCATGGGAAAAAAAATTCAGTGAAATTTGCACCGACTTAGTTCAGTACAGCAATTATCTAAAAAGTAATCCAACCACCTTCAAATCTCCCAAATGAACTCCCAATACACATTTGCAGAAGAAAACTTACAAGATAAGAAAGGTCAATGGATATAACTTCAACGTAAAGGTAAAAAAACTACTAAGCATGCACATCAACAATTAAAGATATATGTTTTTAAGATATTCTGCTTAAGACAATAGAGCACCACTTATAACAAGGCACTGGACACAATCTCTTACCAATAATGAGAGAAAGCCTGGCATCCAAACATGGAGGGGGAAAATCAAGTTGGTCAAAAATGAGCAATTGCAATACCCGGCCTGCACTTGTTTGGATTAGGATTAGACCCACATTACTCCAAGAATAGAAAACAGAAAAATGTAACAAAGCAACTCAAATTTAGTTTGTAAACCATATCCTTGGGGCACCTTTGTTGAACACGTGTTGTTCAATCCTAGCTAGTGACATTTCTGTAAACAAGCAGATGCTTTACATTTTAAAAAATATGGTCATAAAATAAGAATTCCAGTCTTCAAAAAGAAAATCAAATCAATCTGAGAATGTTCACACATGTTGAAAATTTTATATACTAGGTATATCTTTGAATGCAATGCATATAAGAATTTTTCAGAGATATTTCATCCATGTAGCATAGAAATTATTGCACATAGAACCTTTCAAGTGGTGCCACAATCTAAGACTATAAAGGAAAAAGAAAAGATCATTCATCTTGGCAGCACAGACCAACCGATCTTGACCAGCTGACAACAGCATATAGCATTAAAAATTTGGTTGCAGGATTGTGTTTTTGCCAGAAAATGTTGATGACAAAGATGTTGGAACTGCAAGTCAAACTTCTGTATAAGCCTGCAATAATGATCTTGAGACACGAGAAAGTATAGAAGTATAGATATACATATGGCTATACAACTCTAATACTGCACGTGCAGAACATTGGTTAGGAAATCCAAAATCAATGAAACCATTTGCCATACATAGGGGTAGCAATTAAAATTCAATAAAAGAGTCACTATAATGCATTAAGGAGCTGAAATTCACATCTCAAGTTTCACGTAACAGCATAGCAGCATACGTAATAAGCCATAACCTCATCCGGACAGATTTTCATGAGGCTTCTTCAACCCACAAAAAAGTAAATATGCTCATAAATAAACAAAAAATTAGAAACCTCATGTGTGAAATCATAAATTAAATTTGAATATCTAGTATCTTGATAAAAGTTAAAATTATGTTGGCACATATAATGCACGGGTTTCCTCATATTGTGCCATTTCTTTTAAGAATTTTTCTCCTTTTATTCAGACTTCAGATAGCTGAAGAGGGAAGTGAGGGCAGCATAAAGAGCCTATATCCTTTCAACTTTATTCTGATCATCTTTAAGGAATATTCATTAGCATAATACCAATTACGAAACATCAGGTTTGAAAATAAAATCAAAGCAAGCAACCCAAAATGAATAAGAAGATATATAACTGAATAAGAAAGAAGATCTTAAACACAATTAATGTGATCAAAAGCAAGCAATCCAAAATGAGAATAGAATTTGGGGAAATGGAGAATAAAGGCATTGGGTTAAAAACCAAAGGCACAAAGTAAAGCAGTTTCTAGAATGAAACTAAGCCTCAAAATACAACTTTCCAAAACCTTCAGTGTATTTGCAAAGGTACCCATCTCCAGAGCAATGGTGGATGGAATATACATGTTGTTATGAGGTTAAAAACTAGCCACAAACAACCCTACTGGTTTTACCACTGTACTAATTGCTACCAAAACGGTATGCGCAACTCGTGCCTACCCACCAATTTGGCAAATGGGTCCACTGAGCAAATTCTTGGTTACCCAAAAGCCACCCACTAAAGACACCGACAGAATGAGAAGCACATTGGCTGGTCACAATTATTTTAGACTTGGAACAGATTTCTCTTTCACTTTAGGCGAAAGAGGAAGGTTACCCCCATCCCCATCACCACAACAAGTATTGCTTAGAATCTAGGTCATATCTTGGTCACTACTGGGCACCGGACCGTCTTCCACTTGTTCTTCTTGCTGTTTCTGACACATTATATCACAGAAAAACTCTGTCAACACGGTCTCGTAACCCGGCATTTTGGCATACCCAGGGAAGTAATTGATATCAATGATAAGGTAGCGGTTCCCATATCTAGAATCCCTTATCACATCAAAATTAAAAAGGTTCAACTTCATCGCTTGTCTCAAACCCCTGGCTATGTTAACGATGAAACCCTGCGGGGGCATCTCGGTGTCGTCCAAATGCATCATCAACTCGTGATACTTGTCGTCGTCAATCATCTCACCCAAATTGGACACCTGAGAAAACGACAACAAGTCCTCCGAAACGCCGCCCAACGCCTTCTCCTCCGACACGTCAGGCAGCGACTTCCTCTTCACGCACCTCACGTGTTCCCCAACAACATACACCTTGAAGATCACGCCCCCATGGTTCACGAACTCCTGCAGCACGATCGGCGGCTTCAGCTTATTCAGCGCGTCGCGGCTGAACACCAACGCCATCTTGTGCGACTTCGCGCTTCCGTCCGCCACCAACGGCTTCGATATCACCGGAAACTTCAAGAACTCCCACGCCTGACGATCCATTAGGGTTTCCTTATCGTATATCACAATCTGCTTGGGGATCCCGAAGGTTTCGCTCCGGTCCTCGATCTTCAGCTCTGACACCACCTGCAGCATCGATATCCGGTTGTGGAGCCTCTCAATCGCTTCCGGAGCGTCGAGCACCACCGCATTCGGGTTCCGAACCTTGAATTCCTTCAGCTGTTGCTTCCATTCGTCGCCGTAGAGCTTGTGCAAGACGCAATCGAACGGCCCCTGATCCGCCAGGTTTCGCTCCGTGTCCACGCGTACGAGCTCGATTCCGCGCGATTTCGCCGTGCTCAACAATGAGTCGCGGATGAAGCTGTTCTGCTTCTTCGGCGCCAGCGCGTACCCTATCACGCCGAGTCTCTTATCCGCCATTGATTTTTTGTTCTTCTGTGTTGGTCGATGAATCACATTCCCAAAGAGAAACCCTAATCGTGAATATACGGGTTTCTGTTCTTGGTTCCTCGCCTTTTCGCTCCTTCTTGAAACCGAAAATTTGCAAAGGGAAAGAACGGACGGAACGGAAAAGAGAGAGTGAGCAAGAAAAAAGCAGAGAGAGAGAGATGAAGAGAGGGTTGTGGATATATATAGCTTAGACTAGGGTTGGAGAAAGCGAAGGGGGGATGATACGGTAACTGGGGTTAGTTGGAAAATGAGCGGAGAAGGGGTACACGTGTCACGTTCTTGAGCTTCGATTGAGGTATCGCGCCGCTTTATGAAACGCGTGAGGAAATCTTGGCAGGGATAGCCGGATAGGGAAGGGTGAGAGGTGGATGAGACGGTGATAAAATCACAGCGGGTTGATACTTGGATTGGGCAAAGTCAAAACGTGATAAGATTGGGTGGGTGTTTGGCTTTGGTTCTGTTTTGGAATAGGAATGTAGTTCCGGTTCTGGAGCAGAGGACTTTTTGACCTTGGTCTTTTGCACTTTGTGTGGTAAACTAGTAATATTGTACTTACAAAAAAAAAAAAGAGGTGGTCCAAAAGACATAAAATTAGGAAAGGTTTAATAAATTTCTTGTTCTTTTAGAGATATAAGTAATAGAATATGACGGCTTTATCCTCCAATAATAAATATATCACGATGTTCGATTAATATCAGTTTTAAGAAATTATTGATTTTGATATTAAATTAGCTTTTCAGTTACACATTTTAACATCAAATTGATATTTGTATTGAAAAATTAGTTTAATATTCTTATATCTGTTATCAAGATGATATTAAAGTTGAAGGAGTTACTTAATCGTTACGGGAAAGTTAAATTGATATATTTTAAAGTTATTAATTTGTTATCACAATAAAGATGAATTTCCTTAGACAAATGATGGCATTTGGTCGAGGAAAAAATAATTTTAAGAGAAAAATATAATTACTAAAAAAATGATGAGAAATGTGGGAAAATAATTTTTCTGATAAAGTTAAGAAAAAGTTATTTAATAGACCAAAAAATTATCGAAAAAATTTTGGTGTAAAATTGCTAAAATATCCACATCAAAGTGGTATTAAGAAGTTGACATTTTCTTTCATTTTTACGCTATAAAAATTTTTCCATCAAATTTTTTTTTCTAGACAAATTTTTTTTCTATTCGATATCAAATATGATCATTTATAAATCTCATCTAATATTCTTAACAAATTCCACCTACTAAACACCCCGCTCAGTTAAACGGATAACAAGCACTTACTCTACTGCATAACTTTTCAACCTTAATTTTCTTGATAACGGTATTTTCTTTTATTCTCAATTCATTATACAACGTTGACTAATTTTGAAGTTTTATCATATAATTAATTTAACAATTTATGAGTTTATAAATTAGTCCACGTTAAACTCAATTGGTCAAGAATAGACACAGTTTTTTTTTTTTTTTTTGAAATATTTCAATCGGTTCATTCCAACCTCTGTGATTAATTCGATTCAGGGCGATCCAGGATTAAGATTTTTTTTTTTTTTTTTTGGTACATAGGATTAAGATTTTAAATTCCTCCCAAAGGTGATACTGAAGAGATTCGAACACATGCTCTCACTCCACCTGCTTAGTTCATGTACTCATGGTGATACACTGCCCTTGTGCAGGGACAACCTTGTGCCTTGGGAGGAGGGAGAACCCTAAGTTGCCTTCTAAAAATGGACTCTTTAAGCTAGGCCCAGTAGTGGGCCTAAGCTTATAGGATATCCAGAATAGTTTCCATACACCAACTGAGTTACCAGCATTTAATTAGACACGGCTCTTTGAATTCAGTTTACCCTAAAAAAGGAATATGCTACTTGTGAGGAGATTGGAGGCTGAAGTCCTTCATCCATTGAATGATTTATGAAAGGGGTTCCGTGAGGCAGAGAGTTGACTGAAACCCCCCACGTTTTGGTTGACCCTTAGTCCCTAGAGCATAATTGATATGGTTTCTACTAGAAGCATTGCAGACATTCTCCGTGGAAAATTACTAGCTTTTTTGGGTGTATCTCGGTTGCCACATTATTTTATAGGAATCAAGGTACGTAAAAATTAGAATATATCCACTAATCTATTCCTTTGATAATAATTAAAAAAACAAAACATCACGATTCTTAATATATACGATTAAAGAATCAAAGTATTGAAAAGACTAAAGGTTACACTATTTTTTTTTTATAGACAAAGGTTACACTTTTAAATAATACAAGCAAGTATACATGGGTTGTGATTCTTTTTATTAACTCATTTATATTCAATGACTCACATAATTAAAAAATTTATATCGGTGTAAAAAATCCTGACCTATTTAACAAATATAAATTAAAAAGTGAGAAAAATTTAAAAATTCCCAAGTTATTTGCTCTAAAATCATTTAACCTCTTTTTTTTATCTATCAATAGTCTTTTACCATCCAAATCCACATTTAGTGTCGTTAAATATTAGGAAAATCTATCTATTTTGCCCCAATAAATAAGTAAAAAAATACAAGCAAGGTAAATGATTAAGAGGGTAAGTGATAAATATTAAACCATATGGGGATTTTTGAATTTTTTCTTGCAACAATAAAAAAAAAAAAAAAACTAGAAATGAGGAAGGAACCGAACATGCTAATGAGGTATATGGTCAACGCAAATAAATGGTGTTTTGTTCAACATTCAAGAGAAAAGTTAATGCCTCGATGTGGAAGAAATTAGAATTGAGATAATTATCATTATATTTTTTGACATTCCTGTGATATACTTAAATTAGGATTAAATAGTGTAAGGTTCTTAATTTTTGTTGTGTAAAATATAAACAAATTTTTTATTGGTGCTCTATTTTTATTATTTTAATCTTCTATTTTTTCAAATATTTATTTTTAATTTATTTAAAAATAAATAAAATAATAAAAATTTAAAATAATATAATAATAAAAAATTCTTTAGCAACCATCTATATACATAACAATGATGTATTAAAAAAATCATATATTTTAAAAAGTAATAAAATATATATACAGAGAGAGAAATAATTCCTTCAGGTGGAATATAAAAAATATAAATTAAAAGAGAAAATCTTAATATTAAGAAATGAGAAATAAAAAAATGGCATGTTTTATTCGTTTTCTTCTTTTTTTGGTATCCAGCATGTTTTATTATTTATTATGCAATAAACTATAAGATTAAACAAATTATAAATATATTATATACTAACCTACGTCTAGACTGAAGCCGATCGATCAACTCTTTCACTAATGGTCAAGCTTCACGGGTGCTTGACAAATGTAACAGCTTGTTATGTACCGGTATTGTTAATATTGATTATGATATTAAGCACAGTTACAATCATAGCAATTCATTTATAAAAATGAGAGTAAACTTTTTCCTTTTCATAACGCGAGCATTTTAAAACAATAATGAAGCATAATGAGTAAAAGTTGTGAAATAACTGAAAATTAAACGCAGAATAATTAGAAATAATTGCCTAGCTATCATATAATACTTCTCTCAAGTCACTAAGGGGTTCCCATAAATCCACTTAGCATAAATCTCATCTTTACGATTTTTACAAAACTGAACATGGTTCAGTAATCTGGATATTATGAGAGATCCGCATGCTACAAACACCCCATCTTTTAAAATGTTATTCTAGACTTAATTATCTTTCCAACAAGCTATCACACGCTCCATAAAGTTCTTGTTTGCTCCGGTTATTACCTTTTGAAGTTAGACTAGCAAAGCTGTCAGCCAACCTCAAACAGAGCTTCAAACAGCCTCTACTCTTTTAACGATTCTGGATAAACTACTTCAGCAATTGCTCTCAAAGTTTTATACAGTAAACTAAACACATCAAGCTTCAATTTTACATATCATGGGCCTAATTTGATCAAGAATTGAGATGAGAATAAATTTTCCCAAACCAGCACCCGACAGCCCCATGTGGAGGGCACTTCGGAATAGTCTCTACTCAAATGACTCTATAGGTCTGCGTACAACTCCAATAGCTACCCAATTTTGACATGATGTATTTGACATCTAAAACTTCAAAATGATGTATGGCATGTTCCTATTGGACTTCTATGGAGGGAGATATTCTCTCCCAAAATTTATCCAAAATCTGTCATTTATAGAAAATTTGACGGCATCTCCTTTGTTTATTCAACTTATCCCACTTTATCAAAAGTGTGTTAACTATCATCAATTGTAACTAACATTCAAGAGTGGCACTCAAGGACCACCAATGTTTTGGTGCTCTTACAACCCATCACAGTTTATATCAATTTACTCAGTTTACATCTCATCACTTACAATCTCAAAACTTAAACCGTTTTAATCACTTTGATCCATTTGCATAATCATCAACTAAAATAGGCCTATTTCCCTGTCATAATAGATCATCCTTCAATAATACACAAGGTCCAATATTTACAAATTACAATTCTGCAAAATAATAAACATGAGTATAACCAATTTCTCCAAATACAATATTGTTGTTAATTACCAAGAGACAAGAGGTATACATTGTAATCCTTGTGTCAACTACACGAAGGAGATTTCATTTATATATTAAACTAAGTAAGAAATACACACACATATACACAATGTGGGACTTCTATACTATGTACAACAACACTCCCCCTCAAGTTGGAGCATATAAATTGTATGCACCAAGCTTGTTACATATCTGGTCTATCCTAGGTCCTCTCAAAGACTTAGTAAATACATCAGCTAATTGATCATTTGAGTTGACAAAACGAGTGACTATGTCTCCTGAGTGAACCTTTTCCCTAAGGAAATGACAATCTATCTTAATGTGCTTAGTCCTTTCATGAAACACTGGATTTGAAGCAATATGCAAAGCAGCTTGATTATCACAAATGAGAGATGTTGGGCCATTGTCTCCAAACTTGAGTTCATCCAGTAGCTGTTTTAACCAGATGAGTTCACAGGTAGCTGTGGCCATGGAGTGATATTCTGCTTCAGCACTTGATCTAGCAACTACACTTTGCTTCTTACTTCTCCAGGAAATCAAGTTATCTCTAACGAATACACAATACCCAGAAGTGGATCTTCTATCAATAGGAGAACCTGCCCAATCAGCATCTGAGTATCCTACAACTCTGGTATGACCTTTGTTTTCATAGAGAAGA